CAAAGGAGTTATAAAAACACTCTTTGGGGTTTTGTTTTTTTAAAACAGTAAAAAATTACAAAAGGTAACCAAATCTACACTTAGGATATTTCTGTAAATTATGTGTGATTAGAATGTATTGATGTTAAGAAGGCAGAAGACATTTTAAAAGATAAAATGACTTAGATTTTTCTTATTGTCTTATTCTGAAAAATAAGAATTTAAAAAGCTTTCATTATGGTACATATGACAAAATACTTTGACACAAAACTTAAAAAAATGACAGCTCAAACATCTTTAAAGGACAAAATCAGCATCTTTTTATAAACTCATTTGAAAAATCAAAATGACAAGCACATTCTATTTAAAGCAGTGGATGACACTGTACTATTTACACAGGACACATTCAAATTAATGATCTTTAAAAGCATGAATGGACATTATGATAACCTTCAGTTTTCAAATCTTGATCATTTGTGCCTATATTTTCTGAAAAACAAAATCTTTTGATAGTACAAGATCACTCTTCCCAAATGATCTACATTACTGTATAATAAAAAACTTAGGAAGGTATGTCTATCTAATATCTATGACTGTTTAATAATCTTCTAGGTAAAAAGCATTTGTCATGATAATTAACCTTTGCAAAACCTATTGGTTTTCCCTTATACACCTTATACCTTACGTAAGTGCTTCCTGCTGAAGGCTCACAGAATGAGACAAGATTGCCACCATGTGGAACAAACATGTACCACAGTAAGAATATAAACATTTCAAAATCAAACCTTCAATTTAGTAAGGGAACTACCATATTCTTTACTCTAAAATGCAACAAAAACAGTGACAAATAGCTTGGTCTTCTTTCTGTTACCCAGGATATTCACTTTTGGTTCAGACAGTTGGACACACATACTGACAAGATAAACTAGCAAAATGCCCATTATGGAAATGGCCCATAGCCTTACATTTCAGAGTATGCTCTAGAGGCCAGCAGTATTCCTACTAGCTGGAGTGGGTTAGGAACGTCAAGGATAGACTCAGCTCCTATGCACTGAATGGCAACCTGCATTTTAAAAAAGAAGCCTCCGGTGATGAGTGTACACACTAAAGGCCAAGAAAAAGCACATATTTAGGTTGAGTTTAGGTTTCCTGTATCTTCTCCCACCCTACCCTAACCACCTACCACAGGGCTGGGTGACTCATATCAAAAATTCCATACAGTTAAGAAAACAATAGCTAATCCTATTTGAATTACCTAATTAACTTGCCTTTCCCTTTGGAAATATGAAAATCTATTTTATTATTTTATTAGGTTAAACTGATGGGTTAATTGTGCAATTCAGAATATTTAAAAATTTTCCAGAAAAAAGGGCTGGTTTAATTTCAGAAGAGATTATTTTATTTTGCCCAGTCAGAGCCCTTCAGCATAAAGAGACAATCATATACATATATGAACATTTCCAGAAACATTTATAATACATTTTTTAAAATACCAATTTAATGGTATTTATTTACAAAAATATTTCATTACCTAATTTTAAATCTTTTGCTGTGATGACAGTTTTTTCTGATAAAGTACAGGAATGCAAAATAACTACGAAGTTTTAACACATTTTTAGTGTTAGCAATAGTGCTTTTTTGTTTTTAATGAAATGGCACACAAAACTTTTTAAACTGTATTTCAAATGCATATTCCAGCAATTACCATTGAGATAGTTACTGGGATTGAGTAAGATTAAAAAACAAAACAATAAAAAACCAAGTGCAGTAACTAAAAGAAACCTGCATGTAGTTAAAGGTGTACATAAACGAGAGCTCTATACCACGCATGCTTGCCCCTGATGTGGACAATGTTAAAGAGAAACTAAATCTTTTTTTTTTTTTTTTTTTTTGTCTTTTTCCTTTTTACTGGTACCAGGGATCGAACTCACGACTGCCTGCTTGCAAGGCAGGTGCTTATGCCGCTGAGCTAAATCCCCAGCCCGAGAAACTAAATCTTGCTGTTTTTTCATATTATCTTTTGGTAACGCATTTACAAAGAACCAATAGTATAACTAGAAACCAAAATATTTTTCTGATTCTAACTACCATGGCATGTAGACATCACAACTAAAGTATCACAGCACTATTTATTTACAAAAAGAAAAAAGAAAAGGAAAATATGACTTATCTTTTTTGCATTGTGTTCCACTGATACATTGTCTGTCTACAATCCCTTATATTCCATTCTATTGAGCAAAGTTTAGACAACACAAATAGCAAAAGTGTTTTAAAATAACCAATAAATGTAAATCCTTTGCCACTAACCTATACCAATTTTAAATGCCTCAAAGGACCTACAAAATTGATTCATTTATTTATACATACCATAAAATTTTAATTTAAATTATTAGCCTAACTAATTTAAACTATTGCAAAACTTGAAAAACTGACATTCATGAGTTTTCTGATGTAGGGAGAAAAATAAAAAGATCACTTACAAGTAACACTGGACTACCACACTAAATTCATGAATGAATTCTGCCTAATAATTTGACTGTTAGTAACTGAAGAAAGCAACGCTATACCCTAGTAACTGGGATACTATTAAAACAATTTAATTCAGCTGAGAATGCTAAGCTAAAATTTTTCCTTAGATAGATTCATTGATTTTTGTTACAACAACCACTTTCTATCCACAGAACTTTTAACACTTTTGAGGCAGTAGTAAGATCATAATATTAACAGGAAAATACTCCTCATAGCACTTTATAAGAAATTGATCAGAATGATGAAAGAATAATTAACAAAAGCTGTAAACAGTATCTCCACATTCATTTTTAAATAAACAAAAATGGGCATAAATTTCAATCTAAGAGAACAAACACCCTAAAAAGAAAAGAAAAAAATATATAAGTGTTCTTTTTCAAAGTAAATACAGATTAAAAAGCGTAAGAATATTGATCAAGTATTGTACTGATAAGGAACAAATTCTATCAACTATAAAATAAAAACCTTCATTGACAAAAATACATAAACTCTGTTTTCACTTTTGGAAATTTATTTTTAAAAAAGGTAGAAGAAAATATCTGAAAACTATTTTAAATATATATATCTATATATCTATATATCTATATTTTAAAACAATAGTTAAGGTAGACATCCAACAGCAAGTTACAGCTATTGAGAAAGATCTTGAAATTATTGTTGTGGGCATTTTCCCCAAAATAAGATATTTGAAAATACTCAATAGAGGGTTTTCTTTTAAAATAAACATAGTAATGGTATCTTTCTTATCATGTGTGAAGACTTTTAAATGATATATGATTTTTTTTTAAATTAATTGTATCTCCATATGAGATACCAGTATTTCTTATTATAAGCAAAAACGTAACTTTTTGTATGGATAATATACATACTTTTTAAGTACTTTGACTTAACAAGTTCACCATTTTTCAAATGAAAGAGTACATTTATAAAAGTTTCATTTTAAAACTAAAAGTATATTCTCTAGCAGTATGTAGAAATATAACATATTACTGTATGATTGTAAAACAAATCTGAAAGTGTTGCAATAATTTAAGACCACGGACACTGAAACATATGGCAAATAGTTTTATGTTTTTTTTTTTTTTTTTTAATCTTTGAAAACTATATAAAACCCTACGAAAGGTTTTAAAACTGATCAGGTTAAAGTTTGGCTAGCAGCATATTCATGATTTTGGTATGTTTTTTACACATGTATCATTTGATTTAAACTGAGAAATATGAATCAAATAATAAAAAGTATTCATTACTCCAAATAAAGTGCAGAAAAAGTTCAAGTTTAAAGTTCAAAGTTCAGTGCTCTTTACTTTGCAGAAATAAAATAAAATCCTCAAAGTTAAAATGCAAAATAAACCTTTGCCACAAAAAATTTTACCTTTGGATATAGCTTTTCTTAATGTCACATGAGAAATATCTTAAGCAAAACATGTACAAAACACAGAACTCAAGACAAAACTCTGAACTCCGTGGTGTCTTCTATGTAATTTTCCTTTCCTTGGCTGTCCCCTGTAACCTAAAAGTATGTAACACTTTCAGACTTGTTTAAAACATTTGCTTACCTATACAAAATAACTTCAGCGGAACCTACAAATAAAAAGTTCTAAGTAAAATTAAAGCTTCTTCTAATACACTATACTTAAATTAAATTGCAATATACTTACACAGAGTAAAGTAGCAGCATTTTTTTCACATCCATAAAAATTAAATTAAAAAGTTAATAATAGCTCAGCTGAATCTATAACCACATTTTGGAAACACATTGTATGACTGAAATGCAAACCAGTGGTGTCAAAGTGACGTAAAACTTGAAATAGACATAATGTACAGAATTTGTCAAAATGTAAGAGTTTAAGTAACACTAAGCAAATGTGCATGTGTGCATGTGTGTGTCCATGGATCTTAGCTTGCAAAGTGAAATGAACTATGTATGTGGTACATACAGGGAAACCACTTCCTACCGAGAAACTGCTAATTGATAAATACTTCAATGATTTTTTTAGTCAAGACAATGCAACAATGTTAAGAATATGAAAAAAAACACAAATTAAGAAAAATCTTTCATTTTTCTGATATTTTCTATTTTAGTCTTATTTTTGGTAAGTTTTCCTGATATCCTGACTTGCTGGTGACTATTTTTGCATTTAAAAAAAGACGTTATATCTTACATTACAATAAATTCCCTGGGTTAGTTATTACTTCAAACTATCTCTTATCTACAGACTGTATCAAGTATACTGAGAACCTTATTTCCTATATTCAAAAATACTTTTAGTTTTATAATCCTAAGTAGTTTTCAGTCTCTTGAGCATAATGTATAGATTAATTTAAAAGTGAAACAGAAATAACATAAAACACTAATTTAACATTTTCTTACAAAACTCCTCTCAATAAATAATTACAGGTTTGGCTGATCTTATATACAAAAGGAAAAATGAAGTTTATATGCAAACAATAATATAGCAAATTAAAGGAAGCTAAATGGACTTCCACTTGGATAAGGAATCAACAAGTATATTTTAATTTGTTTAAAGCTTTTCAATTTCTTTAAATCTGTAACTACTGATGACATTCACAAATCCTTCCTGTGACATATCATGAACAATAAGTTTTCTGGATAATGCAGAAACAAAGTAAGCAATTTGTAAACTGCGGGATGTTCATCAGACAGCAGACAACAAACAAAATTCTGTTATTCACTGTTATTTTCTACAAATTTGAAAACCTGGGAATGATTTTACTTTTAAAATATTTCTTTTGGCTTGACCAATTAATTACATATATCCAGTCTCTATCCAATGATACTTAAAATTTTGATGTAAACCTTTGTATTCAATAGTGTGCACTATAAGACATAAACAAATGCTTTATTAATGAAAACAGTAAAGAAGAAATATGTATGACTGAAAAAGTTAAGATGGTCTACACATACCTTTAATGATCATATGGAATAGAAAAATAAACATGTTTCCTACCAATATGTGCTGATTATCTCTTACTGAAACAATGAAAATGACTTTATCTTTTTGAAACAGGGTCTCGCTATGCAGTTCAGGCTAGCCTTGAGCTCACTTTGTAGCCCAGGTTGATTTTGAATTTGCCATGATCCTCCTGTCTCAGCCTTTTGAGGCTGGGATTAGAGGCGCGAGCCACCACGCCTAGCTGAAAAAACTGAAAATGATTTTAAATAATTTTATAGAATATTTAAATTTCAAAAACATTAATTTCAATACTTGGTTTGCTCTTTGCTGCTTTAACAATAGTCAATTATAACCTCAGATTAGATTAGCTGTGCTAAAGAGACTGCTTACTTCTATATCTAGAGAGTGGTTTCTTTTCCATCTGTGATGCCATTCTAGGAACCAATTATTCAGCATCTACTGCTGTTTCAATTTAAATTGTACTCTATCACAGAAACAGTTTAATCACTGAAGTGTATTTCCCTTCCTTTTGGTTTTTTTTAAACGTTGAAAGGATATATACAGATTTATAATATACTTCTACAGAAAATATTTCGTAAGTCATCAGACTAGACTATATAGATCATTATTGACAACAGATGCTTGTAATTTTCCATGCGACAGCATGTGCACTAATATTTAATTAGCTCATCACCTGAGTGTACTGGAACTGTTAGCAAATAAAGGGTATTTTATAAAGGGAGCTGAGCATTTTACTGAAATAATGAAACATTGGTTTTTTAGCAATTTTAATTAAATAATGCAAAGGTACATTTAATTAAACATTTTATAAAAACTCAAGCAAAATTAAAAACGTAGCCAATTTCAACTTTTCTACAAATTTAACTGATAACTATTTTGGTCAAATCCACCTTCAACTGATTTAATGACAAAAGGACAAAGGACTTTGAAGTATTCTCCTCACCACAATGGAGGTTTTTCTCACTTTCCACACTGCATAGCCACTACATGGAAACTCCCATAATGATGAGCAATTCAGTCATGCTCTACACTTTTCTTTTCAATGAAAAGTGATGTATCACCTTGTTTTGCTTTTGACAAAGTATGAACTAAACACAAGTATGTAATAACAAGAATCCAATAGTAGCTCATACACAAGTCAACTATGTGTATGTTTTTATTATTTAAAGCCCACCATTCAGCTTAGTCTAAAGATATGGTAACAAACAGTTTCTTTTTTACTAATGATACTGATGACCAGTCCATTTAAGGGAAGGAAAGTCCAATACAGCCGTTTACAATCCAGTTCAATGACATATATATAAATATTTCAGCTTCAGGACTTTGGACTTATTGCCTCTTCCCAAAAAAGGTCAAACACTGATGGCAGATACAACAGCACAAAATCTTTTGGCATATGAAAGTTTAATACAGGAATGATCCAAGGAATAGTCCCTGCCATGTCTCCGCAACACATCCCTTTGTTTCATTTGTTACATGTGACCTGCTTAGTTCCCAAACTGTCAGCGCAAGCTGGCACACACCATATATTCTGGTTTGAGTGTGCGTGTGTACACTCCTCAGGTAAAGCCAAGATTGAGGTAAAACAGTGCATGATTGTGCTAGGAAAGAACAGTATCCAGTGATGAATATCCTGTGAATGTTAGCTTTCCTAAATAATCAATGAAATAAAAACAGGAAAACTTTTCCTTCTGGCTAAAGTAGAACTTGTTTGATTCTGGTTGTCAGAACTGGTACCACTTCTTATCTTTGTATTTCAACATCATCTACAAGAGGAAAAAAAAACAAGAAAAACATGTTTTCAAAATATCAAAACAATAATAACACACACACACACACACACACACACACACACACACACACACACACATATATATATACACATCTTTATATACAATAATAACATATATATATACACATCTGTCTCTTTGAGACAGAGTCTCACTATGCAGTTCAGGCTGGCCTTGAGCTCACTTTGTAGCTCAGACTGGTCTTGAACCCACAACAATTCTCCTGCCTTAGCCTCCCAACTATGGCGATTACAGGTGTGCACTACCATGCCCAATTTGGTTTCTATATTTTACAAAACCATATGTTACTCTGAAACATTCTGTAGAGTTATTACATTGTTTACTCAAAATAAATTTATTGAATGCAGTAAAAACTGATTCACTTAGAAGAAAAATGACCATAATCATTAAGAACTAGTCAACTAGACTCTCAAACTTCTTAGAAATGTAACATAATTTGGAGACTGAGATAACCTACAAATAAGTTAACTGTCAAAACATGCTTAAAGAACCGGGAATGTGAAATTGGAAATGCTACTACTACTATTATCTCAAATTCACTGAGCTCCTACTTGGTATTGAATGACACACTTTCCCTACTTGATTTCATTATCTGTACAACTATTGTTCGACTACACATTATTTTTCTTCCCATTTATAAATGAAGAAGAACCTGAACTTTCTAAAGCTACACAAAGTTGAACCATGGATTTAAGCCTATCCAGTCAGATTCAAGAATGCGTGATCACAAGTATCTCAATGTCTGTTTCGTTAGACTCTCAAATATGGCTGAAGAACAAAATTAGATTGAAAGGAAAAGCTATCAGCTTGAGATTGTACACTTTGTTAACTACAGTTTGGATATACTGTGAAACTGATTTAAGTTTCTGTATTTCCTAGGAATTATAGAGGTAGGTGCAGGTTTGTAACAACAAAAATCCTATCCTAAATTGGAGTATACTAAATAACCTGCATTAGAGGTGCATGTAGGCACAGTACAAGTACTTACAAAAAAGTCTCTGAATCTTTCTGAAGTCCTGGGCAAACATCTCCCAGGTCAAGTTATCTCATTCATGCATCCTAGGTTTCAGCATTTTTGAGTAAAGTGATGACTTTTGGTTGAAATGTGTAAAGGAAAGCTAATACCATGGATTGGATGCCCAAGCGTAAAAAATAACCTTAATATAATTTCTTTAGACAACAAACTCAAAATATCCTCAAACTAGGAACTAAATATGGGTAAGTATCTCAGTCCAAAGCACCGCAGATGTGTGCAAAAATGAAAAATATGGATTTTACATAAAGGCTTTTACACTCAGTTTTTAGAGAATAAGTTACTCACAAAAATATATTTTTCAGAGAGTTGTGTACAGACCCTACTCTGTTTCTGAGCTCTTCCATGACTTCTGAACTCCATAAAATGAATTCATTGCAAAAGGTAGCCTGCTACCTCTCCACGTGAACTGGTCTGAAACAGACTTAGTACTATTTATTTGAATCAAATGTTTGCCAATTTCAGTTATTTAGATCTACATGAGAGAATCAAGGAGGCAAATTATTCCTTTTCTAGGACAAAAGGTAGTACATTATGAAGAACTAAAGCAAATTAGTATTGCTACTGTATTCCCCAAGAAACAGTTGCAAAACTGCTGACATTATTTATAAAGATCCAGATGGACAAGTTCCTTCAAAATTTATAAATTTCAGTAAGAACAAAGGGTCTGAGACACATGCTTGTAATGGTTCTTTCTAGTGACAAAAATTAGGAATATGTGATTATACAAAGAAGAAAATTCATGTGTAGAAATATAACAGCTACCACAGTTTGCATACTTGCTTTAAACAGGTTTCTTTGATCCTTTTGATAGACATACCTCATGGGCATGTTTAGAAAATGCATCTGCACTTGATAACATAGCTGCTGTTCTTTCTTCCAAGTCACCAAGCTTCTGCCCTCTTTCATCTAGCGCCAAACGAGCTCGTGCCAGTTCACCAACAACTCCAGACGCTGCCCCTTTCACACCTTCGATACCACCAGGGCCAGGAATATGCTGTGCAAGACTTCTTGAAGCCTTTCCTGAGGATGACTCTCCGACTGAATGGATTGATAAATGCAAAACGTAAGTCAAATAATGAAAATTTTGTAAGTATAAAATCTTACTACATGGTAACACTGAAGTACAATTTTTAATAGAGTGACAATTATAATATTTATACAGTTCCCTTTAATATATATTTGGCTTTAATCATGATGGTCTAAATAATTTCAAGATACTTTTTTTGAGCATGAAAAAATAACAATGTACATTAATAAATATCCTATACTAAATATACGCTTTTGCAGGACTTCTGCAAAAGTAATTATTTGAATACAGTGACTTAAACAATGAAAATGAATACAGTGACTTAAAACAATATTCCCATTGGCAAACTGATATTAATAGTTAAAAATTACTGCTAAGGATCACAATATTAAACTTAAAACTATGTAACTTCAAATGCATAGATTTAAGTTAAAATGTACAAATTTGATTTTACTTGACACTTTTAATAACTACTTAGGCTCAGAAGAAAAATGACTTTATTTATTATTCTTTTTCAGTCTTCATTATTCACAGATAACCTGCATTCTTTTTTGTGTCATTTATCTTGGCATTTACCAAACAGATCAAATCTCTGCTTTAAAACATCCTAGGATTTACTGCTTCCTTCCATTCATAATCCAGCTCCTGATCATCCAACACCCACATCACTTCACTCTTATTCCAGATTCATTCCCTTTCTTCTTTCAGCTTACAGTTCCTTCCTCTCCTTCTCTCATCCCTTTTCCTCTCTTACTTCTTTCATGTAATTCACATACTATAAAACTGTCTGTTAAGCATTTAGTGGTTTTAGTTTACTTACAAGACTGTGCCAACATCACCACTATCTAATTTCAGAACATTTCATCATTCCAGAAGAAGCCCATACCTGTTTGCAATCACTTCCTATTTCTCCTTTTCTAGTCTTCGTCAATCACTCATCTATTTAATCTCTATGTATTTGCCTATTCTTAATATTTCATATAAATGGATTCATATAGTACACAGTCTTTCGTGGCTGGCTTCTATCACTGAAAATAAAGTTGTCAAGGTTCACTATATTATGCTGTAGCAAGTACCAGTACTTCTTTTCATGGCTGAATAATATATAATTTTATGGATATACTATATTTTGCTTATCCATACATTAGTTCATGGAAATCTGGGTTCTTTCCCTTAGTTTTTTATGCTATGATGACCATTTGTAGAAGTTTTTGTGTAGATGTTTTCAGTTATTTTGGGTATATATTCAGTAACGAAATTATTGAACTCATAAGAATTAACTATGTAAATTAATGTAATATACGTAATCCTATGCTTAACTTTTTGAGGAACTATCTTTTTGAGGATACTTCTAAGATGTAACATTTTTTCTTTCCACTTGCAAGACAAGAGACTTCTAATTTCTTTACATATGCTAACATTTGTTTTCATACATCTTTTTGACAGCTATCCTATTAAGTGTGTAGCCATATCTCATTGTGGTTTTCATTTGTATTTTGTAACAAATGATGCTGGCATTTTTTTTTATGTGCTTGTTGATCACCTGTATATTTTCTTTGGGGAAACATCTATTCAAACCTTCTGCCCATTTTAAAATGAGTCGATTTGTCTTTTTATTCAAGTTGTAAGTCTTCTTTATAAATCTTAGATACTAAATCTCATTAGATAATAGATAAGTGATTTGCAAACTTTTATCACTTTTTGAAATATAGTTTTCATTATCTTGAAGTTTCTTTGAAACACAAAGTTTTAAATTTGAATGAATTCACGTTTCTGTATTTTTTTGTTTGTTTGTTTGCTTCTGATTTAGGTACAATTCCCGAGAAACAACTGCCTAATCCAAGTTCAAAGGATTTACATCTATGTCTTCCTTTTATACTTTAGCTCTTATATGGAGTTCGTAAAGTGTTTTGAATTAATTTTTGTGTATGCTGTGAAGTTGTACTCCAGTTTTTTTAATGTGGATATTCAGTTTCGAATACCATTCATTGAAACAAAACATTCTTTCACCACTGAATTTTCTTGGAATCCTTATAAAAATTAGTTGACTATAAATATTACAAGGCCTTTTCTGGACTCTCAATTCTACCCTATCAATGTAGATAGCTATCTTTGTGCTAGTACTCCACTGTCCTCATGTTGTACAGCTTTATGGGAAGTTATGAAATCGGGATGTGTGGCTTCCAGTATTTTTCTTCTTTGTCAAAGTTTTTGGTTGGTAGGTTGGGTTATTTTTCATTTATGTATTTTCATATGATTCCTAGAGATACCTTCTTGTTTTACGCCAAGACCTGATGGGGATTATGTTAAATGTGTAAATCAATGTGGAGAGTACTCACAGCTTAACAGTATTTCTTCTAGTGACTGAACATGAATTGTTGGTCCATCTACTTTTGTGTCAATTTCTTTAAATTATATTTTTAAGTTTTTAGTGCATATGTCTTTCATTTCTTCAGTTAAATTATTTCTCAGTGGTCTACCTTTTAGTGCCATTATAATAGAACTGTTTTCTGCATTTGATTTTTGGATCATATATCTGCATCAGTTTTATCATACATGACACCTTATGTTATCATGACATTTTGTATTTTATCATATATAACATCTTGTATTGAATTTTTTCAATCTATAAACACAGTGTACGCATCCATTTATTTGAGTCTCCTTTAATGGTTTGCCACAAAGTTTTAAAATTTTCAGTATTTCCCATTGAGGTCCTGAATGTTTGTTAATAATTATTTCCAGGTAATTTTGGTAGTAGAGATTGAATCCAGGACCTTGTGCATGGCATTCCACCACTGAGCTACAAAAGATACTTTGTGGTAGTATTATGGGCAACTAAGTTGGATAAAACTAATAGGACGTCAGGCAGGGATGGACCCTTGAGAGTTAGTGCAAAGATGAGGATACACCAAAACTGTGGCTGGGGGCACAACCACTGAAGGCCAGGCCTCCAAATAAAGATGCAATGACCAGGCCTTACATGCCTCCCTGAGGGATAAAAATAACTTGAGTAAAGTCTAGACAGACATTAGTCACTTTAGTGGGTGACCAGAACATCCAAATTCATTCCTTCTCAAAAATGCTTTTGTTCTATGTACCCTTGCTACATGACTTGCTTTCCTATAATCAGTACTAACTAAGCAGCTAAACTTGTAATGTTACAGACTGACTGTAGTTTGAATCCTCATTGTACTCACATTGTGTCTTTGCTTTATAAATTACCCCTGACAAAGGGTCTCAAAGGCAACTCACTTTCAGAACCTCTCGTCTCTCAGGAGCTATGTCTCAATAAATCTTTCCTACATTTAACCTTCCCTGTCCTTGGGAATTCATTCTTTGAGCTCAGAGGACACAAACTTGGCACATCTGGCATCTAGCAAATGAGAGTCATCCTTCTCCTGTATCGGTAGGAGGAAAATGGCACTCTTCCTTTGCCAAGTGGCCGTATTATAATCCCTAGAACACATGAATATGTTGCCTTATAATGGAAAAGAAACTGTAGATCTGACTGAATTAAGGATCTAAAAATGGAGAGATTATTCTGCATTATTAGATAAGCCAAATTTAATCATGCAAATTCTTAAAAAGCAAAGTACTTTTCCTAGCTATAGGGAGAAAAAAGAGAGAGAGAAAGGGAAAGGGAGAATGAGAAGGAGATATGGGGTTTTAGAAAAATACAGATGCAAAGGGATCATATGCACAGAAATATAGATGGTCTCTATAAGCTAAAAAGTCAAAGAAATAAGAATCTTCGCTAGTGTCTTCAAACAACAGCTCTGGAAACATCAATAATATCCATGTTGATTTCTAACTTACAGAATGTAAGAGTAAAATTGGGTTGTTTCAAGCCAGTAAGTTTGTGGTGATTTGTTAAAGCAGCAATAGAAAACTAATGAAAAAATTTTAAAAAAATTCTTGCTGTTATTAATATAACACAAATTTATTTTTTGGTACTGAATATATCCAGTAAATTTGCTAATTTTGCTAATCATTATTTCTAATGATTTAGTTATAGATTGTTTTGGATTTTCTAATGTCAATGACTTACTTTGTTTCCTCTTTCCAACTACTGTAACTTGTTCTTTATTACCTTTGTATACCCTCTAGGGACTTCAAGATATTTTAAATGACTAGTAAGTACTTGTGATCTCAGAGATAAAGTTTTTATTATTTTTTAATGTCTGACATTAAGTGTGCTATTTGTTGTTGGGTTTGGCAGCTAAATATTGTATATTTTGTAGTTACAATTTTATCAACTTACTTTCTAGGAATCTCTGTAATGAATGGATAATGAATTTCAACTCATACCTTGCTTGCATTTGAGTAGGTGGTCATTTGACTTTTCTCCCTAATTTATTAATATGTTAATCTATTAAATTACCCACTGATCTTACGAGTTCTTGACACAAACCAAACATGAGGTTGGTATGTAGCCTTTATTACTAAATGTTGGTTTCAACATGGTTTTACTCCATTTTAATTTTTGTATCTATATTCACGAGTAATATTTACCTTTTTTCTCCCTTTCTCATACTAGTTTGGTTTTTAGCATTAAGGTTACAATAATAACCTAAGACAAATGTTTTCTTTTTCTATTAGAGTTCATACAGAAGTATAATTATTTTTTCTTTAAATATCTGGTAGAACTTATTAGTGAAGACCAATTTGTAGAATCTGCAGCATGAGTTTATTTGTTAAAAAGTATGAAATGACTGTTTCAAAATCTAACAGTTATTATTTAGATTTTTATTACTGTTTTTGTACGGTAATTTACTCCACCAAAATTTTCAAAAATTTTACTTTAAAATTATTTTTAAAAATGGTAATAATGATATCTTTTTTTCCATTTCCTATTTTTTCTGCTTTTTTCTTGATTTCATGACAGGTTTATTAGTTTTACTTTTTTTTTGTTTAAAAGTCAACTTTTAACTTTTGTCCTATTAAGTTAATAACTAAAATCAAATCCCCGGTGTGAAGTTGTGGGTGGGATCTTTGAGAGGTAATCAGTCTTCACAAACTAGCTTGCTCTCTTTCCTCCTTGAAGACACTGCAAGAAGTACTTATGCATTTATTATTTTGTTTTAAAATCTTTGTTCCCTACATCTTTGACATTCCACTAAGGATTATCTTCCTTTTATTTGAAATACACCCTTTAGAATTCCCTTTAGTGTTGTAGTAATGCTTATTTATTTGTTCATTTGCCTAAAAGTATCTTAATCTACAATTATATATGAAAATACCCTTCAATAATTACAGTCAGTATATAGATTACCCCATTATATAGAGACATCAGTTATCAGTCTACAGCTTGTCAAAAGGCATCTATCACTTTTTTATAGCCACTTTTTGTCTTTAGAGTATATTTTCATAAGATATATCTAGTTGAGAAGCTTAAAATTATCTTAAACTTAAATTTCTTGAATTTATAGATAATCATTAATTTAAAAACTGTTTCAGGGATATTTCTTTATATTATATACTGATTCTTCTTTATTTTGTGTTACTTTACTTTTGAAGTCTAAACATGTTATGTATTCTTGGAGCCACTTCTGTTTTTATTTAAATCCTGCTTAGGTATTTTATTTTTTTTGTTGTTGACTTTATTGTGGAAGATTTCTTCTAATATTTAAATTACGTAATTTTCTTTATGTCTAATTTCACTTAACACTCATCTAGAGTTTTTAACAATGATATTTTCAATCATTTAGTTCTAGAAACCCATTTTCAATTTTTCCCATCTTCTTTACTGATTTTTATTATCCTCAGTTATTTGATACAATGTCCAGGCATAATACCTATCCTCTTGAACATAAAATGGACTGATCAGCCCAAACCTAAAACAACAAAATCCAGAATTTCTTGCACGGTAACATGATACTCAAGATTTTTCAGATTTATTTTAAATTAGAAATGCTCAACTGGTAAATTTTATGCAAATATTCTATTGTACTACAACAAGATATACATGAGCCTCTAGGGACCAGAAAAGGAATATTATCTTAAGTATCCCCTAAGAGCTCATGGTCGAAGGCCTGGTTCTCAATTGATACTGCTGTTAGAATTATGAGGGGCTGGGGTCTAATAGAGGGAGGATAAATCACTTAGGGCTTGCCCTTACAGGGATACTAGGATCACTGGCTCTCCATTCATTTCCTCTGCTTTCTGCGTACCATGAGTTGAGCAGCTTTGCTTTACCATATACTCTATTCTAATGTCCTGCCTTTCAACATGCCCCCAAATAACAGATCCAACCCAACCATGGACTGAGTCTGTGAGCCAAGATAAATCCTTTTTAGCTCTAAGTTTATTTTTTAGGTATTTTATCACAGAGCTGGAAATCTGATTAACATACTCATCAGTGAAAGACAATCATAGGAATAAAATGATGATATTTAATTCAAATAAAATACTCTGAATTATATTGAAAGTGGTGAATACATTTTTTTCTGCTTCTAAAGTATTTTGATTTTGGTTCTCTGAAAAAATATTTTCCTGATTTGAGAGAAAATGACAAAATATTTCTACATATTTTGTTAAAATGTGGATATATTAATTATTGAGAAAAAGAGAAAAAAGATGAACAATTCAAGTTAAACAAATCAACTTACATAGTTCTTCTCTATCAAGAGACTGTGCACCACCTCCAAATAAGCCTTTAAAAAATCCCCTGTTTGGTGCTTCAGGTGTTTCTACAGGAGTGAAGAGTTCACCCAACATCTCCTTTAAAATCAAAACAAATTTTCATTGTTAAGGCTTCAGGGAAATTAAACTGTGATTAACAAAACTATTATTGTAAACTCTTTAATATAAGTTTAGATAATTAACTGTTGAGATTCACAAACAATGACACATTTCAAATGATCAGATCTGGCAGTATTGACTTATTCAAAGCAAGGCTTTTAGGAATAACTTGTTGCCTGTTCCTTTCACTAGATTGTATTTCCTTGCCTTTCAGGTAAAGATGGTATTTCTGCCTAGGCTATAAGGTGCTTAATGAACTCAGTGAGGTTTTAACTTAAGATTCCCAAATGATGAATGATGCTGAGCATCTTTTCAAGTATCCTATTTTGCCCATGTTTTGTATTGTTTGATTGTCTTCTGTCTGTTAAGCTTCAGAAGTCTGTTTTTTGCCCTCCCCTCACCTTTTTTTAACTTGGTTGTACAGAAGAGCGGGTTTCACTCTGGCAACTGTACATGCACAAAACATGCTGTATCACTTTCATCCCTCCCCTGCCCACGTTATCCCTTTCCCCTGCTCTCCCTTTCAGTTTCTTATGTATTCTAGATGTAAGATTAGAAACAAACTTTGCCAAATATTCTGGGCTGTTTCTTGTCTTTTTTAATTTATTAAGTGTTCTTTGAAAAGCAAAAGTTTTAATTTTGTCAGTTATAAACTGTTGTTTTAAAAATGGTGCTTTTGGTTTTGTAGCTAAGAAATTTTTGTTTTACCCAAGGTAATAATGATTTTCTTTCATTTCTTTGTAGAAGTTTTATAGATTTTGGTTTACATGCAGGTCCAAATCTATTGTGAGTAAATTTTTTTTTTTCTTTTGCTTTGTTTTCACCTTTGGGATTTTAGGAGCTCCAGAATCATTTGTTGAAACAGCAATATTTCTTTGTTGTATGCTGTTTTCAAAAATTACTCGTTTATATACAAGTTTTTCTGTCTTGATGCCAACTTTATAATTCTTAAAATGTTGGCGTCAACTTGTTAAATTTGTTCTTTTCAGAGTTACTTTAGTCCTGCATTTACATATGAATTCTAGAATAAACTTGTTGATTATTACAACAACATAAAAATCACACTGGCATTCTGATTTTATTGTCTTAAATCTACAAATCAACTTTGGAAGAATCAGTATCTTAACCATATTGAGATTTCTGATCCACGAACACAAGATATCTATCTTTATTTAGGTATTAATACATTTCTTTATTTTGTTATGGTTTTTCAGTGTAGAGATCTTTCAAATTTTTTCAAACTTATCCAAAAGCATTTCGTATTTTTACTATTGAAAATGACTGCTGCTTAAATATCAACTTCCAAATGTTCACTATTATTGTACATAAATGAAATTATTTTTGTATACTGATCTCATATCCTCCATGTTTGCAAAATTCTAGTGCCTTTTTTGGGTAGATCTGATCAGATTTCCCATGTAGATGACCATGTCATCTATAAAAAAAAGAGCTTTTTCTTTTTCCTTTCCAGGGGTGATTCCCTCCTTCCTTCCTTTCCTTGTCTGAATCTACTGATTAGAATCTTTTTATTTTTTGTTTTATTAGTTTGGTATTGGGGATTGAACTCATGACCTCATGCTTATCAGGCAGGTGCTTATGCTGCTGGGCTAAAGCCCCAGCCCCTACTGATTAGAATCTTAAAAGCAACAATGAATTTAAATGGTGAGAGTGAGCATCCTTTTCTAGCTTCAAAAAGTTTAATACTTCATCCTTAAGTATTATGTTAAGTATAGTTTTACTTAGATGTTCTTTATATCTCCTTCTATTCCTTATTTGCTGAGATTTTTCTACAATCAAGAATGAATAATAAACTCTCTCAACTGCTTTTTTTTTAAAGTTTCTTGATACAACGAATTATACTGATTTTCAAGTGAACTCTGATGTTCACTTGAACATCCCATTTATTAGTGGGATAAATCTCAATCATTATGTGCTACTCTTTTCCTATATTGTTGAGCTGAATTTTGCTTAGAGTATTTGCTTTTATTATTGTGAAGGATACTGGTTTACATGTGGTCTCCTTTTCTTATAATGACTCTTTCATTTTGGTGGAGGTTAATGCCTGTTTCACAGAATAGATTGTAAAGCATTCCTTTGATTCAATTTTTGGAAGAGCTGCATAGAAATACTATTAGTCTTTCCTGGATTGTTGATAGAGAACAAAAGAAAACCAATCAGGCTTGGAAAGAAATTTTCTTTGGTCCAAAGTTGCTAACCTTAATTTCAATTTCTTTAATAGAAACAGGACAATTCAGGTTATCTATCTTTTTTGGGTGATTTTTGATAATTTGTGTCTTTGAAGGAATGTGTCTATTTAAATTTTAAAATTTATTGGCATAAAAGTGTTTACAGTATCCGATTATGTATTTATCTATAGTATATGTTTAGTAACAATTCTTCTCAATCCTGTTACTGACAAGTCGTAACTTCTCTTCATAAACAGTCTAGTTTAAGTTCAACTACACTATATTGATTTTCTCAAAGAACTTGCCCTTGGTTTAATTATTTTCCTGCTTTTATGTTTTCTGTTCTACTGATTACCCTTTGGATATTTGTTATTTATTTTTATTAACTTTGAATTCAACTTGCTATTTTTTCAGTTTTTAAGGTGAAAACTGAGGTCACTGCCTTAAGATTTCCTCCTTTTCTAATACTGTGCTATAAATTTAGTGTTATAAATCTAATCACTCAGTTATTTTTCCCTATTGGTACATTTTCAAGCTTACCAATCTTTTTTTCTATAATATATACTCAGTTTGTTTTGGCCTCAAGTACTGCAACTTCTCGTTTTCAGAATTCTGACTGTGATTTTTATTATTTGCCATGTCTCTTAACTTTTTGAGTATTTAGAATACAGCAGTAATACTGGTTGCATATCCTTCAGTGTGAATTCTAACACTTATGTCCATTCTGGTTTGATTAGTGTCTCCATCAGGGGTTTTATTTTTCTGTATCTTTGCATGAGTGGTAATCTGACTGGATGATGGACCTTATGACTTTTAACTTCTTGGGAGCTGGATATTTTTCTTTTCTTTTCTTTTCTTTTTTTTTTTTTGGCCTTTTTCTTTCTTTTTATCGGTACCGGGGATCGAACTCACGACTGCCTGCTTGCAAGGCAGGCGCTTATGCCGCTGAGCTAAATCCCCAGCCCCTGTGAGCTGGATATTTCTTATTTTCTCTAAGTTTTTTTGAGCTTCACTATGGTACACTAAGAAACATTTTAAGTCTTTTAGGTCTTGCTTTTATAATATGTTAGACAGGTCTGGAGCAGAAGCTAAAAAATGGTCATCCAGATATATCAGGTTCTAATCCTTACAACCCACGAATGTTACCTGGTCTGGAAAATAGATGTGTGCAGATGTGATTAGGTTCCTTGCCCTGGGAAAATTATTCTGTATTATCTAGATGAGTTGTATATCCATTTTAAGAGACAGGCAATGGAAATTGTGACACATACAGTAAAAAGGAGGCAACGTGATCACGTGGCAGAGACTGGAGTAAAGTGGCTTCGAGTTAAGGAGTGGCAACAGCCACCAGAAGCTTAAGAGGAAGGAACCAATTTTCCCTGAGCTTCTGGAGGCAGAAAGGCCCTACAAGGATTTCGACTTTAGCTTAGTGAAATTGATTTTAGACTTCTGGCTTTTCAAAAGTATGAGTAAATAATTTCCTGCTCTGCTACTCCCCCGCCCCCACCCAATGCCAACCTGCTCCAAATCTGTGGTAATTACCAAAGCCTCAGGAAACTGAAATATCCAGAGACTATACATTTTGCCTTTCCTGGCTCAGGTACCAGGCACGGTTATTTCTTTCAGATTCTCTCCTTGGACAGAGACTTTATAGTCACACACACATGCCGAACAGCATTCCACAGAACACTCTTAAGGGACTCCCTGCAGATTCCCCGGGTTCTCTTTGTAGTGTTCTCTACCTTGGTGTGCCCAGACTCTTGGTTCTGCCAGGTTTTGCCTTGGAACCTTTTCTCTGTACCATGTCCTCACAGGTCAGTAAAGCTATTAAAGCTGGGTGCAATACCTTGTTTGTTTCCTCTCTAGAGATTGCTTTTCTTTGCCTGATGTGCAGGATCATGAACATCAATCTGGTCCCTATGATGCCAACTTGGCTCAAAAGTCCACTAATATCTGTAAGCATCTTTTATATTTTTGGCTAAGGTTAAATGAATGCACAGTGTAAAAGGGCATTCAAAAAACCAAGAAATAGTATTTATAAAATTCATAGTAATCTTCATTTGACAGATTTTCACTAAGGCATTTTTTCAAGGTACTAAAATTATGGAGGTTAGCAAAATGTTAATATTGTCCTAAGAAAATATTTAATCATAAACTCCTTAAAAAGTGATCATTTTGGGGCTGGGGATTTAGCTCAACGGCATAAGCGCCTGCCTTGCAAACAGGCAGTCGTGAGTTCGATCCCTGGTACCAATAAAAACGAAAAAAGACAAAAAAAAAAAAAAGTGATCATTTTTCATTTGTCTTTGTTTCATGAAGGCATATGAAGTCATGTTACTGAAGGAGTTTACTACTGAAAAACCAATTCATTTATAAACATAAACATAAATTTAATATGTCTGTTACTAACTTTCACTAAAGAATAGCTATGATCAAAGAACACAATACATCGATCTCGGTAAAGTGACAAAGTTTAGTTTTGCACAGTTGAATTAAGAGCACGAATTTCAGATAAAAGTAATTTAAGAATATATGCAATATATTGTTTCTTTAAAAATAACATTTTACTAACAAAAGAAATACTAACAGGAAAACTTTGAGATTTACCTTTCAAATAAAAAGCAAAATTTTATATCAGAAACTTAGCAAAATTTTTAAAGAGAAAAATAAACATAACAATAAGTTTCAAAAACAGGTTAGTAAGAGAGTTATAATAATTAATACATTGCATATTATCATCTTCATAATAGTTATTCAGAGTACCAGATCCTGTCTAAACAATATTATCACAAACTTTTTTCAACAAACCAAGACTAACTACCAGTGCAACTATCTTAACTACCTTCTATATAGCTTTTAGTTTTCCATTTTTTTCTTTTCCCTATCACAATTTGTTTTTTATTTTGAACAATTTCTTCCCAATTCACAATATCTACTATACATTTTGTATCTTATTTACTCACTCAGTATCTCACACTACTGAAACAATATGATGTTTATACATATGGGTCGGATTTATTTCACTTATTAGTATGGTCTCAAGTTATATCTATTAACCTATAAACTTAGAAAAACTACTTTCACTTAAATATGAATGGGAACTTACATCTAAAATGTCAGATTTATGGATGGACCGTGAGACTATACTATATTCTTAAGTGAAATAAATCAGACAAATGTGTAAATACCACACTGTCTCTCTGGTATGAGAAACTAAAAGCGTAAATAAGAACCAAAATATGTAATAGATATTGTGAAATAGGAAGAAATTCTTTAAAAGGAAAGAGGACCTAGGAAGGAAGAAGGGGGAAAGAAAAGAAGGGGAAAAAATTGGAAAAGAAGGATAAAAGGAAAACAAAGCTTTGTAAATAAGGAGGGCAAGACGGGTTGAGGGGAGGGATGGGAAACAAAGGAGTGAACACACACCACGTACAAATTCCCTATGACGAATGTGATCATTATGTATATCTAAACTGTACCAATAAACTTAATAAAAATAAAATAAAGGGTCAGATTTAATTTTGTTTTACTCTCAAGGACTGAATTTCCATTACAGTAAAGCACTGTGAAGTGGCGACAATGTATGACACAAGCACATCAGTGCAGGATAAACAGGACTCTCAAAGCAGTATAATAAAAAGGTTCTGAACTTTCCTAAATAGGCTCATTTGTACATTCCTGTGTGAAAAAGGGCAGATAATACAAGGTTCTTCAGAGAATTCCTCACCTCTGAAGACATAGCAAAGCTTTGTTACTTACCTGAAGATTTTCACAGGTCTCTTGACTATATGTTAGTCTCTGGATTTCTGTAGGTGAGACAAGATACAATGCTTGTCCATTGTTGGTAAAGCAGAACGTTCTGGCTATCCGCATATTGGTGAGGGGCAAGTAATACACATCCAACAGAGGCCTTAAGCTTGGCAAACTTCAGGAAGAAATTAAAACTTGTTAAAAATATACAGTAGGCTTAGTCTGAAAAATATTATTTTAGTCTGAAAATATTATTACTAGAAGTTAAAAATGGCTAAGTATCACTTCTTGCAAATCTTGTAATTTAGTTTACATAGTCTGAGTAGAGGATAAAAAATTTACTTGTATTTCTCATATACTTCTTCACTAGTTAGCTGAATGAAAAGAAATCTTGAATGTGCAGTTCTACAAACAAGGATATCTTTCAAACTGAACGTAATTTTGTAATGATTTAAGGAAACAAGTATCATATTTGTGTTAAAAAAAAAGAATTTCATCCTTACCTGAAAGTCATAATATGGCCATTGGCACAGAAACACGCTAGGCAGATGCTGTTACTCAACGCTACGATATCTCCACGAAGCACGAATGAGGTCTCTGTTATGTTTTGTTTATAAGCACAGTTCTGGGTTGGCAGTGAGATTACTTTTGCTTGCTTTTCAGAACATATCACTGCATACTGGTTTTCACTAATTTCCTGAGAAGAGGAGGGGGATACTGAGACAGGTCGCTTTTTTTTTGATTTTTCCTTTTCATCTTTTTCCTCAGGAACATTGTGTTCTTTCCAGGGTTCATAAGCAGGTGGCATTAAGCAGCCTGTGGTATCCAGGAATGCCATTCTCAAGATTGCACCTTTTAACCTCAATATAGTTCCTAAAATATAGAAGTTTAATAAATCACTCAAATATTTTAATATCCCTATTCCATCTCTGACACTAAACAGACACTCAAAAATGTTAAACACATGTCAAACTGAAATTATATCACGGGTCACTGATTGGATTAGAAAATCAAGCATGATATTTAAGAGTCTGGGAAAAGGTATCAACTTTACACTTTCCAAACAGGAAAAGAGATAAGGCACAGTAAGGAATCTTCCCAGCCAGGACATTTATCTGATATTCACTGGTACCAGACATTCTGGAGAACTTGACCATGGGTGTTTCCTGAGATATCCTCACCTGAAGTCCCTGACTCCCTAACCAGACACCTTGCCTGACCTCCCCACTTGACTCCTTGTCCAAGCCTTATTTAAAAAGTCTCTTTTTCTCTGTACCCCACGGTTAGCCTTTTCACCTTCTCTGTCTGCCTATACTCAGGCACAATAAATTTCACGCCATGTTGCCTTCACATAAGGCTGGTAGTCTCTCATTTGCACCATTCCTTATGATTATCTGACCTAAAGATTCATCATCAACGGACATGGTGGGTGTCTGGACCCATGTTTCGTACTCAGCATGTGTTCTATTAATATGTATGAGCAAATAGATGGCACATGACAACTGGAGCTGTACCTTCATAGGGCAACCAGTGGTCATGTAGCTGCAGAGCACTGGAAATGTGCCTTGTCCAAACTGTGGCAGGTAGCTGTGGTATTCTATGAGAGCAGAGCACATGCCAGATTTGAAGATTTTAGTACCAAAAAACCCCCTTAAATGTAAAATATATCAGTAATTTAAAAATAAAGACTACATGCTAAAACAACAGCATATTATTAAAATCAATGTTGCTTAGTCTTCAGTACTTTTAATGTGGCAATTTGAAAATTTTAAAAAACATATGTAGCTTAACGTATACTTCTAATACAGTACTGATCTAGAAGAGAGATGAGAAAAAATTCCACATATTTCTAAGTATCACTTCTAAAATAAATTCCTTTTGAACTACGTATCAATAAATGTTAAACATTACATTAATTTGGTTAGTTTATAGCCATAATTTAGGGATAATGTTTATTATTTGTTTTAATTTATGGCATCTTTTCCCTACATAGCCTCAAATTATAGACATGTTAGTATGCCAGGCTAGGAACTGTTTTTAGTGCATACAGTCTTAACCTTAGGATTTTCTAAAAATGACCCAAAATCACATTAAATACATTTGTTCTACAGTTAGCAAGATTTTAGCATTTTTCCTAGTAGAGTGTTAACTGACAGGAAAGGAAACAAAGAGAGAGGAAGAGGAAAAGAGGGGAAGAAAATAAGAGAGGAGAGGAAAGAACAGAACAGAATAGAGAAAAGAAAAGCGGAACAAAGACCAACTCAAGTTCTTAAGCACAGAAACCGATCAGCTTGTCAAGAATAGCTTGTGTCACAGTTCTGATACAGATAACATGAGCCACTGATAAATTTTAATATGTATGTTGAGATATATATACATATACATATATATATATATGTACATATATGAGTCAAAGTTCATTTTGTTCTTTGCTATTATCTATTTACATATTGACTGACTGAGATAAGATCACATGGTATCCAGGCTGGTAATGAATTTGCAGTCCTCCTTCTTCAACCTCCTAGATAGCTGAGTTACAGGCATGTGCAACCATAACCAACTCTCACTGACATGTTTTTAAATAGGCATCTTATTAAATTCTAATAAATTTAATAATTTATTAATTTAATAAATCAAAGATTTCACTGTTGAGAAGGGACTTCTATATGAAAATAATTCTTTTATCAAAGTAAATTCACAACTAATTTGATTTTATTACAAGTTGAAAAATAGTTTAAATATCTTTTTATAGTTAATAATAAATTATTAATTTGTCTCCATTTGTGTTTACTGGAAACTGTTCTTAATACAAACTAATGTTTGTTGTGGAATACAGGGAAATCACAAAATAACAAAAAGGTAAATAAAAATTCCTCAAGTTTCACTAATCACTGATAATTCTTGTCAACATTTTGATTTTAATCTTTCCATTTTTTGTCTCTACATATATATATTTGTTGCTTACTAATAAGAAACAGATTAGTAAAAATACCATTACAGGGCCAGGGATTTAACTCAGCAGCACAAGTGCTTGCCTGGCAAGTGCAAGTAGCCCCCGGCAAGCCGCCCCACCCATGCCATTATATAACCAATTTACTTTAATCTAACAAGAAAGTATACATTATACACTCAGGTATTTACTGAATGAATAAATCAAAGAGATTACTTAATGTAAAAACAGTTTAGAAATGAACATTAAGGTAATAATTACATTTTAATTCTAAATTCTATGAACTGTAAGTCTACTATAGTAACAAGACATACTGACCAGGAAACTCACAGTGGTTTCTATCTACACAATCATAAATAAGTAGTAACAAAATAGGAATTCTCAGCTATTTCTAGACTTAAATTCCATATGCATTTGAAAAAAACTAATCTCATTTTTAATATATGAAGATTGCAGAAATTTTTAAATTTGCTGTTAAGCAATCTTTTCCAAGCACAATACTTCTTTCATCTTCAGCTGCTTTCTCTAAGGCCCGTGCCAAGCCTGGTTTAATTTTTCTTGAAACTGCATATCCAACAGCTTATTAGACTCTTCTGTTATGTCTCATTTTGCCAAATTAAATAACATCATTAAACAAAGCACTAAATTCTTTTCATGAGACTACTAATATTAATGACACACTTGTTCTCCCAAGGAACAACATGTAGAACAAGCTACAGTTCTGATTTCACACTTACAAAATTAAAGACTAACCAAGGGAAGAATGTTTAGAAATATGCATTTCTGTTTTTATCCCCTAAGTAATATACCATTTTGTTTGTAGAACATAATATTTTGAGGTATTTGGAACATATTATTGTAACAATTTTTAAAATTTTGTTATTTATTAATCACTTTATGAATGATCCTAGAGTTTTAAAACCACAAAACTTGAATAGCTATATAAATAAATAAATTTTGTTCCATGTATTCCTTTATTAAAAACCTAAGGCTGGGCTGGGGATTTAGCTCAGTAGTTCAAGTGTTTCATGGGTAAGTATGAGGTTGTAAGTTCGATCCCCAACATAAAGGAAAAAAAAAAACTAAGGTTACCACGATCCCCATTTACTTAATGTTTTAAAAGTCTTTGATTAATTCAATATTAAAAAGCAAGGTTTCTAATTAAATCACAGCAAATTCCACTTGTTGCAGAGTTCTCAATGTAGCAGCAGAGTATACATACCACTTGGAGACACAATCACTGGCTGAAGAAGTCGTTGTTCTCCCCCTGGAGGAAGGTTCAGTGCAATGACAAGCACTGTTCCTAGAGTCGTTCCAACCCACAGACATGGGGAAGGAGAGGAGTCCGCTTTCCGAGTAAAAGTTTCACAGAAATGAAGAGCAGAAATTGCTTCTCGGGATTCTTTATCAATGCTTGTCACACTGGAACTCCGTGATCTGCTGAAGGAATTATCTTTTACATCTGAAATGATTTCAAATGTTGTAGATTGCTTAAGTTATAAAATATCACTTTTTGGGATATTAATTTGTCAAACAGTTAATCTTTTTTTTTTTTTTTTTTTGGTATCAGAGATCGAACTCACAACCTTGTGCTTGCGAGGCAAGTGCTTGTGCCACTGAGCTAAATGCCTGACCCTCAAACAGTTGACCATTAAAAACCAAGTATTTTTGTAATTTTCCTTTTACTGAAAAATACTAATTTACTTTTTTGTTGTGGTTGTTTTTGAGATAGGATCTTCCTCAGTATGCAGTTCACACTGGCCTTGAACTCACTTTGTACCCCAGGCTGGTGTTGAACTTACACTGATCTTTCTGTCTCAGCCTCCCAAGTGCTAGGATTACAGGTGTGTGCTACCATGTCTGACTCAATTTACTTTTATGTCATAAAATTTCAAAGTAGCTTAAATGTAAAATACAAAGGAATAAATCCAGTTTGCAGACTGAGGTGCATCACAATAAATTTTTGAATGTGTGACATTTGTAATCTTGGCTGCTTTTTTAATTTCAGCACTCTAATCTGTTCTCATGGTGGAGTTTCTTCCTTTGGTGACACAATCCATGACTAGGTGGAACTAAGAGTGAAACTCTTTTTAACTTTCTACATGTTAAACAAAGGTATTTGGAAGTACTCTGATGATGGGCCTCTTAATTTTTTAGTCCTTCCTATATGAATACCTTTAAACAATAAAGACTCAGCTTTAATTTTTCTTGAATGCCATATTAGGTATAATCAACATTCATCTCATTTTTCTGCAAAATGTGTAACTGGTATCTGTATCAATGATACCAGACATATCCCTTTGCTCAGTTCTGTAATGAGAGTAATGTTTTAAAATTACACTAATGAATCTCCTCTCATCTTCAGCTATTTTCTGTATGCCCAATCCCAAGATATCTCAAATTATTGCCTCATTTTTCTTGTAACTCCATTTCTAAATGCTTACTAGATTCTTCCTTTATGTCTCACAGTTTATATTAATGAATTATCATTTTCCTACAAATACTTAAAACAAGATACAGTTTTGATTTTTCCTTTTTGTTTTACCTGTATACCTGATGGGATGTCAAACCCTATGTCATTTTATAATAATACTGTGGTTCAGTTTTTCCACTATCAAACTACTATTATCTTAACATTACCATTTACCCAGACTCATCTCCCCCATTTCAGTCTCTCACTTTTAACACATCCCAATTAAAATCTGTCACCTCAATTTAAAAAGTTCACATTGGCTTCTCCTCTTCTATTTAATCATGCTCACACTCATTCAAGTTTTTAAGAGTTTTCATAAAATACCTTCAACCTACCTTGTAGGTCTTATCTCCTAATGTTGTGCTCATCAATTCGTTGTGATGCTGGATTTTTTTTCTGAACATAATCATTTAACTACTCAGAGCTGTTTGTGACTTTCTGAACAGCATCCTTGTATCCGTCTTTTTGCTACCTATCAAAGTTATGCTTAGTTTTCAATTCACTCAGTTTATGCTGACTCCTACAACAACAGTTTCTTTCCTTTCTGGGTACACAGCCATAGAGATCTGTCTGTCTCCCATAGCACTCAGAGTACATTTGTTCTACAGTAACTTCTCACTTGTCATATCCTCTGCTCTAGTGTAACTGTCAATGTCTCAGGTACCATTTTGATACTTTGCAGAATCAAAGGGGTGTTGCTTATACAAAAGTTATCCAATACAATTAAAGTAGATCTGTAATGAGTAGCAAAACCAGTTATTTCTGTGGTATCATTAGGATATACTGAAATTCATAATAAGTGTCTACAACTCACATATAATAAACCACTTTTCAAATCACTTGCTTTTCAATGCTGCTATGAATGAAATGACTCTTCTTGTTATGAAAAAAATTTTAAGCCCTAAATTGTATTGTTAAATAGAAAGCTGTAATTCCCCCAAAAGCGTTTGGCAATCAAATTTAGATTCTGAGATTGCAAACATTCCTTCCAATAATAATTCTGTGATTATAGCTGGAAACAAGACAATTGCTAAGAAAATAGAAAAGGGTAATTTCTAACTGTAGTTTTTAAAATGCTTTCTTTTGCCTCAGACAGTATTTGCTGGTACAGATTATGACATGGCAGAAAAGACCACTGTTATGATTTGAATATGACCTGAATGCGTCCCCCAAAGTTGGATGTGCCAGAAGCACGGTCCCCAGTGCGGGAATGCCTAAAGGTGGTGCAATCTCTAAAAGGGAGGCCCGCTGGGAGGCCTATATTTTCATTATATAAAACATAGGGTGGTAACACCCTGAGAGAAGATATTAGTAGTTTTTGAGAGAACCTGGTCGATTACTGCTAGAGAGGTTTGTTACAAAAAAGCAGGCTTGGACCCTGAATCTGTCTGGTTTTTTCCATTGCCATTCGACAGTTCTTGTGCACTCCTACCATGATGTCATCCAGTATGTTGTAATATGTAGAAATAAATCCCTTACCAGAACCAAACAAATGCTACTACTACATTCTTGAATGTCCAGAACTACAAACTAAATAAACATCTTCACTTTATAATGCTCCTAGCCTCAGGTATTTTGTTACAGCGAGAGAAATGGACTAAACTACTTAATGTAAATGAAATCTCTTTCCATAATCAACTGCTCATTTCTTACATGGTACTGATTCCAAATATTTATGTATTTACTGTTTACAATTACTGAAGTTATCTTATCAAAGTTTAAATTTGTTTCTTCAATAATAAATGTAATTAACTTTCTACTTAATGATGCACATAAAAATTGAACCGAGATATGTTTAATTGGTACCTAGTGATAACAATGGGAGACAATGATACAAGACACTGGATAATACAAATTTTGAAGTAAACTATTTGTAGAAAAACTTGTATCAATATCCAAATTACAATAGATGACTTACAGTAATTATACATTTGTTAATTGAAGGGCCAACACAACAGTGTTTTACTTTAATGGACTTAATTAACTATTTAAGGTCATTAGGTTACAAATGTATTTTTATTATATGACTTGTCCATAAAAATTAGACTCCAAAGAAACTCGTAAGACTATATCAACATGGAGAAAACAGATTGAATAAGAATCAAGCTTTCTGGCAGATCTAAATGCAGATTTAAAATCCATCATTAATGCTTTCACTAGTTTACAGAAGCATGTCATAAAATCACTACTTTTTCACTACCATTCTGGAGACCTAGAACATTTTTTTTCTATACATCACCCTCTCCTTTCCACATAAGAACTTCATGCAGTGTAACTTTTTATCTTCAGATTAAAACATAACTCCAAGAGATGATTTTGCTTGGGGTAAAAATTAGGACAAAGGTTAATATCAAGGCGTATAACAATTTGTTATATGGCTCCTATGGCTGAAACTTTAAAAAGAATGTCAGAGATGTAACATTATGCCTATGGTTCCCAATTTATTGATTACGGATTCCAGGATAGAGAAGCTGAAAGTGCACTGTAACAGAAATACCAATAGGCAGAAAAGAATCACATTCATAAAAGCTTGCAGAGCTGTGGGACAATCCAACACACTCAGCTGCTTTAATAACATAGTAGAGACTTGAGTCTATTAATACAGTTGAGTTTTTCATCCCATTGGTTCTTTGATCAATTTGAACAATTAATAGCTAAGAATTTCCACATATAGGAAAAAATAGTTCAGCAGAACAAAGCCTTGAAAAAAACAGGCAACATAAAAGTAGATATTCAAGGATATAACAGTTGAAGCTATAACTCATGCATTGCACTAAAATATATGGGCATGCTAGCAAAACCATTAACTGAAGACTTGTAAAAGCATGAACTGTACACTTAACTTTATATACATATATTTAATTTGTAAATTTTAGCACGCTTAAAAATGATTGTTATATATTTTTTAGTAATTTTAAAAGTATTTCCATATGAGCTTTCTCAGATTTTTAAGATGCTGAAAGAAGTAAGGCTAGTTTAATTGATAGTATGCAATGTTATTGAAACCATGAGACTCAGAGAGTGAAATGAAAACTCTGGATCCTCCTACAAGGCAAAAACATTCAATATAAGCCTCAGACTTGGATTCAAAATATCCTTTTATGTTTTAAAGGAAAGGATTTATGCCAGTCTCAAAACATAGGCTGGTCTAAACTCTTATTAATTTTTGTTCCCCCTACACTGGTGACACCACTGAGTTCTGCTAAATTGTTTTCCCTGTAAATATAATATCCTTCTGATGCCAGGTAAATATATTATATACTTACTCACTAATAATACCTTACATGTTTACTGATAATTACATGCTCTTTTGGCATGAATTTCAATCTTATGCCTACTTTTAAATATACTGCTTTGGTTTGTATTATATTTACAATTTATATATAGCTTCCTAAAAACTATACGAAAAGATGTTTAATTATTAAATCTTGTAATTTCTGATGAATTTCTAGATTAATTTTATATATTCTGGTTTTTGTTTTTATACTAAAAAGAGTGCAATTTCTTTTGATATTTATTTATTTTACTTACCTAAATCGGGCTTTAGGTCAGTAGGCAAGCTTAATTTCCTTGACATCTTTGCTGAAAAATAAAATGTATTTTTAAAATTCTGAAGAATATTTTATTTTCTGATTAATACCAACTGATTTTCAAGATAGAAGTGAATACTTTTATTACTAGGCTAGAAACTATAATTAAAACATGATTAATAATATTAGGAATATAAATAAAATTTTAACTTTCAAGTTTTTATAAGTTTATAGTACTTACTTTACTTGATGTAGTATCTTTGTGTCCTTGAAACTCTTACTTCAAGGAAGCCTTTCACATTTTAACATTTAATTATTACTTAGGCTTACAAGAAAGAACTAGACTCTTCTGAGAGAAGAAAAGTCATTTCCAGAAGAAGTTGCAGACAAGGGCAATAGAGGTCTGAGGCAAAGCTTGGATAAGTAACAGAAAGTCTTTCCAGCTTCTTGCCTTCAATTATTGGTTGGGCTTATTGTTTTTTAAATTTTTGTAGAATACGTGACACCTACTTCTACAATCAAATTCAAAAATTTTATTATACCATAAAATATCTGACTCAGTCATTACTTGATATGTTAGTATTTCCCTTTATAATTTTGACAAAAACCAGTCATGTTTAATCTAAAATTAAAGATTTATATAAAAGAATTTTGACATGCATTAGAAAAACTAAAAGCTAATGGATAAACCTAATGGAATTCACTTTCCATCCTCAAAATCAGTTATTGTCTCAATCTTGGAAGTAATTTAAAGTTAGGAATTGTTCAACTATTTTTACTATGTTAGTGGAAGTGCATGCGTAACATAATAGTGCTCCCTAGGTGAAATTTTGAAATAGTATGTGTTTGTTAATATATGAATGCACACACTAGGTTAAACTTTGGACTGTTAGGAGATATTTAAAGCACAGACCCTGCTAGTCCATAAGGGCGCCATGTAAACAAAGAGAAATCCAGTCATAGTACATAACTTCCACATCTAAAAAAATGACAAATCCAATGTTAGGAAAGAGGCATTAGGCAGACTGGAAAGGGAGGAAGGAGGATGACATTTTTTTTTTTTTATTTCAAAGCTTCATTAATCTAATTAGTATCCTTTAATAAACAACAATGGGTCACCTTTACACATCAGTCATCCCATTTTCATCAACTTACAAATTCCAATTAGTCGTTAAATGCAACACAAAACCAAAATACTCAAATAAAATCTATGGTTAGGTGATCTCAACTACATGGCTGCTTTATTTGAAACACAATACCCTTTAAATTAGAAGACATTATAATCTCTAAAACAGTACCCTGAAAGGCAGTATTGTATACTTGGAAAGAATTCAGGTTTACAGCAAGCACCACAGATACAACATATAGACTGCTAAGTAGTACCTATACAATATATACGTAACATCTGAAGCAGATCAACCTGGCATGAAGTTCTTAGAATCTGATGGTATGGATGCTACCTCTATACACCCTACTAGTCTGACTTGTTCAAGTTATTTTGAGTTTTTAGACTTGTGCTTTTCAAACTTGGGATGTTCATACCCAATCATGCCAGATCTTGAAATGCACATTCTAAATATAGACTAAGACCTGAGAGACATTTCTAACAAGCTCTCAGAAGATGCAAATTTAGTTGGTCTGTGGACTGCACTCCGAATGAAGGTCTCTAACTACAAGTAAATTCATGGTTAAGAACTAGCACAAATTCATCAAGCACAATATGTGTATATAGTAAGCGTGCATATCAATACATGTGCACGCATGCACGCGCACACGCGCGCGCACACACACACACCATTTCTTTAACAAGCTTCTGTATCAGGAGGAAGAAAAAGGGTAAGAAAAATAGGAATTGGGGTGTGTTATGTAGTGATTAGTATGCGTTCAGAATCAAACTTAAAGTTTGAATCTACCTCAACCAATTACTTGGCCTCTCTAAACTTTGAACTTCCTTAAAGGAGATGAGGCCAGTTGTGAGGACTATGTAACATGACATAGGCAAAGAATTAAGTATAACAGCTGGGACACAGAAATATTTAATTGATGATAGTTATTATTGATGAGTATGGATTTAACATAAATCATAAAACACTGTACAAATATGTACAAACTGTACTTTCAAATAACCAAATGGTCCTTCATTCTAAGTCTACAGTAATAGTCCAAGTAACCTAAAGTGAGGCAATGGAGAGAAAACAGGAGTGGGTCAACCTTTCAAATTCATTTCAAAAACTATTTTCAATATATAGGTAAACAAATCAAAGAAAAAAATAACTTTAGCAACTTAAAAAACACAAAGAACTTGTTTTTCTTTAAATAGATGTTAAAATACATTATCAATTAGAAATGGTTCTGCTGATGCTTTCATTAACTAGACATGTTCCTGCCAAAAATGTCACTAGGTTTCCTTCTCAATTTTATTATGTAAATGTTTTTGAACAGGAAGGAAAAGAAGAGTGAAGAGGAGCAATGAAAGGGATTTAAATCCTGGCATTAAAACTTATGCTATGATGTGCATTTAAAGAGTTTCTTTTTGGGGCTGGGGATTTAGCTCAGTGGCATAAGCGCCTGCCTTGCAAGCAGGCAGTCGTGAGTTTGATTCCTGATACCGATAAAAAAAAAACAAACTTTCTTTTCTTTGTAAAATGAGGCTTCTATCTAAATGTCTGTTAACTGACAGGCAACAGAACTGTGACTGTAGCATGGGTTGTCATAAGTAGGACTTGAGACGGGCTGTGATCATCTCCTCTTACACGGTTTTTACTGAAATGGAATATTCATATTTTTTTTTCATTTCATACATATTTTAGTGTTAAGCCTGAAAAATTTCATGCAGTGGTCATGTGCTAGATATATCATAAGAACAGTTAAATTAGATTAGTTATTTTTATAAAAATATACATTATGCATAATTAAAACAATGCAAGAAAATAGAAGTTTTAAGACCACCCAACATCCTGCCAACCAGAAATAACCATTAAGAGGAATTAAACATCTTTGTAAATCTCTCTGCGTAGATGCTACAGACGATTACTAATAAATAACTGCTTTTGTTTCCTTGAATTTGGAATTTTTTTTCTAACTTATGATGTAAATTTAGTATTATTAAATAAGAATGGTTCTTTTCAAACAAGTGTTTAAAGTACATTTCCCAAACTTGGCTTCAACTCCCAGACTTCTAGGAATTGTTATCAGAATAGTTTCTTTCTTTACTCCACAAATTCCATTCACTTTAACAGTGCACAATCACAGTCTGCCTCCTGTGGCTGAATGCACCTCCACCTGGGCTCCACTGAGAAGTGCTATGGGGTACACTGCTAAGACTTGTGGGGCTCACCTCATACTTTTTCTCAGGGTGACAGTTTTGAAATGTTTGTTCAATTCCTGGGAATGACAGATCCCTTTATTGTGACCAATATTATGGTTTTCTATAGAAAGTTGTAAACATTAAGGTTTAATGTTGAACTTTAGGATAACTAAAGTCTGCATCTGCCAGGAATATAGCTCAGTGGTACAGCATACTTGCTTGGCAAGTATGAGGTCATGAGTTTGATCCCAGGTATGGGGAAGAATAAAAAAGGTCTATGTCTTTCCATTTCTGTGACTTATAGAGAATATACTTATTGTGAGTCTGTTAGCTTCCAGGTGGCAGGTCCAAAAGGCAGATCCATCTCTGGGGAACATCTCCCTGGTCAGCACTTCTGGCTCAGTTCCTTTTCTCTGGCATAGTTTTGCCATGAGAGGGTTGTAGATTTTTACCCAGTGATTTCATGATAACATTTTTACTTCTCAGAAGCACTTGCCAATCCAGTTACCCTGTCATTTTACTTTACTGAATTTATCAGAAACTTCTGCTTGGGTCTTGATTTTATTTATGTTACACTGTGGCCTTCAAATTGAAGGCATAGGATTTAAATGAGTTCCTGGAAGACAGGCTGTTTTGCTTTTCTTCACTTATGTTTTCTTTAACTCTTGCCCCCAACACTCAGTATCTTCCTTTCTTTCAAAATTTCTTGTTACTGGAGAGTACAAAGTAGGTTCTTTTCGTAAGTTTTTCTGTATGTAAACGATGGTACTATAGCCAAGAGTTCCTAAATCTGAGAAAAATTGCTGTAACGAAATATCAGAGGCTGGTTACTTTATAAATAAAAGAGGCTTAGTTAGCTCACATTTTGGAAGCTGAATGTCCAAGACTGACTAGACCTACTGATTCTGCAATTCCTGAGGGCCTCAAGAGTGACAGCCTAATAGTGCCAGCATATGTGAAAAGAGATTACATGGTGAAAAAAGAAACCAGGACACATGGCTTTTTCATAGCAACCCATACTTATGGGAACTAACTGGTGTCCCCAAAACATTACATCAATCCTTTTGGAGGGCAGCACCCTCAGTGACCTCATTACTTTGTGTTAAGCCCTACATTTTAAAGGTTCTACTACTTCTCAACACTGCCACACTGGTCCATTGGTGAAACTCTGGAGGACTTACTCAAACTATGCCCAAAGCATAGTGAACAAGTACCAAGGAAAGGTGTGTAATATTTAAGAAACAAATCTTCAGGCAAAGGACTACAATAATACAAATGACAGTTTTATCACAGTTGATGATTTTTAGTCCTTTCAAACTGGTGAAATCTTTGTAAGGTTTCTCAATTGAGGAAATTCTCATTGTTTCTTTTAAAAAGATATTTTATAATTTTCCTTCAGTTTTTCTATCCATTGTGTTCACATTTAATTTTCTATACACAGTTTTATGAAAGAAAGAAAAAAAGAACCATAACTTTCACTTTTTAGAATGTGATTTTTAAAGGGGCCTGGGAGACTGGGGATTAAATGCAGGCCTTAACTACATCCTCAGCACTTTCTAAATTTTTGAGACAGGATCTTCTAGACAGGGATCAAACTTGTGATCCTTTGCCTCAGCACAGTAAAAACAAAGAAATATGAAAAGACTTCATATTATGAAAGTATGATGAAGTTATTAGAAAAGCAAGCTGATTATTGTTTATGAGATTCAATATTTGGAATAAAATGAAAACACTTTTTTTCTTCT